GCAGCCTCGGTAGAAAAACTTTATTCTTTTGTTGAGAGCATGCTTTTAGTCCCGTTTTTATGGTCTGCACCATTTTTTCCGTTAACCTGTTCGACTGAGGGTGATATGGGGTTGTCTTATACGGTTTACATCCTATTTTTTCTAACCATAAAAAGATCTTCATCACAAAATTCTGGTGCGTTGTCAGATACCAGGGTTTTTGGTATGCCGTTTTGAAAAGAATCTGTTTTATCATAGAACTTTTCTTGTCTGGCACCGGATTATTTCAGGCCAGCCTGAAAAGTCTTCTAGAATTAATAAGAGTCCCACTCCAGTAATATACGCATGATCCATATGCACCAGACTCCATGGCTCCACTTCTCTGGGCCACGAATGTAAAGTAGTCTGTGTAAAGTTTCTTAATTCTTTACATTTTTTTTTGCACCTTTTTATATATTCTTCGACATCTCTTGAATATCCCAGCCACTTTGCTTCTAATTTATCCTTTTTTCTGTGGCCACTACTCCACAGTGTATATCATCATGTACATTTTTATTACCAATCTTCTTTGTGTTTCTGGGGGAACTACCAGATCCCCATTACAAATCACTCCATGTTCTATCATTAATTTCTGTCTTATTTCTTTGTAGGGTCTTTCCACCCCTAGAACAATTTCCCCACGAGTTTTTTTTATTCTCGATATTATCCTACTTAGTACTGGATCATGTCTAGTTTCTGCAGCCATTCTATCTAAAGACAAAACATCAGTCTCTACCCAATGTAAGAATGCATCTTTAAATTCTTCTGTTTTATCTTTAAAATTATTCAAATATAGAGATAGAAGAATTGGTTATTCTATATGGACAAATGTCATCAATCTTAGAGCCCATCTTAATTCCTCAATGTCGTGACTTTTGGGTAATTCTTTCCTTGGATTAAATAAAATGTTTTGGTATCAGTGTTACAAAAAATTTTCCCAGTAAAATCAATCGCAGTTATCTAAATTGCAGTTGTTGATTTTAATAATTTAGTATAATGTCTGTTTTTCTTTTGTTAAATTTTTCTATATTCTTATTTTTTAATGTGAAGTTCGCTTGCATATTGGTTAACGTTTTCTTCCTTTTTTCAAACATTTTTCTTTTGAATTTGCATACTGCTTTTTTGGTAACTTTTAATTCAATTTGTACAGGTTTTTCCCTTTTTATTTTGGTAAATATGTTCATGTCCACCAATCCGAAAACTAACATTTTTTATTATTTTTTAACTTTTGTACATATCAAAGCGAATATTTGTTGAAATGGGTTAATCTTATGATGGTTGTATTTCTGTATTAATTCTTGTTTATTGTTATAAAGTCATTTAATGTATTTAAAGATTATCGGTTTTTTTTTAGTCATTTTCATTATTTTATATCGGTATGCATATATCGTCTTGGTAACAAATTAACCATAATTGAATCAAGTCCTGTTTCAATGGTCTGTTCGTCTTGTCCGAAGTTTTTTTCAAATGGCAATATCTTTTCGCATTTTAGTAAAAGATTGTAGATATTTTATAATTGGTTGGTCAATTTCTTGTTTCATCGACATGAACTTTGTTCTTTTGCCACTACCAGCCTTTTTTTGGGTCTATTTTTCTTATAATCATTCCTTATTTCTTCCAAAAGTCAGGTCTTCCATATTCAGGATATGCCATGAACAAACATTGTTTCATTTTGTAATCTCCCAAATACGTAAATCACCAGTCTGTAGCCAAAAAATAAATATGTTCAAAAGGTCTTGTTTTATTAATTTTCGTAGTTTCCTTATTACTTGTTGTCTTTCAGCTTTTAATTTTCGCACTGGCAGAAAAACAGGGGAATCATTTGCATTAATTTGAAATCTGAATTTATAGAGATAAAGTTTTTGGGATTTTTATCTCATTAATTAATTTGCAGAATTTAAGTTACACGTCATTTCAAAGAAGTCAGTGGTTCTTTTTACTTGTGTGACAATTTACGTTATTCTTCAAATTGATGAGTTATATCAGAACCTTCAAAGTATCCTAATGCAAATTAGACATATCAAATTGGCTAGTGTAAACTCACTACAGGAAATAATTCAATGGTCATTAAAAAAAGTGGCTCATAAGTATCTCAGTATCAAAGTTATTAAAAAACAATTTTTATTTAGTAAACTTGTTCCAAATACTTTTTCTATAAATATTTTTTTAATGTGAATATTAAAATTGGTTTTTATCAACCTTTGATGTTTGATGGCAGAGAACTTATTTTTAATTAATTAAGTTTTCCAAAATTATTTTTTATTATGTTATGACAGTGGTTCATAGTTTTTGAACATTTTGTTAAACCTTGTGTATATTTTTTGACTTTTTAGTGGTTTCCACTACTGAAGATAGTCAAAAATAGAACCTATTTTTTTTCCATATATTTTGTGATGCATTAATTTAAGAAGGAAAATTAAACAAAGAACGTCTTGTCCGGGGTTTTACAGTTTATCAAAGAGAAGGTAGATATTTTATAATGTTCAACTGCATCAGAAATGATTTGTACCAGCCTTTTCTTGTTGGAGATTTTTCACTTATTTTTTGAATGGTAATCAATGATCATGGTGGAAACCAGTTAAAGATCAATTTTTAATTTGATTCTTTCTTTTTTTTTTCAGCTTTTAAAATCATGAAGAAAAAGTTGTCATGAACAACCACTTTTCTAGATCTTTTTGCCATTAATGAAGGTGTTTCCACTAGACAGTATTATTGAACCTTTATGTTGTTATCTCAGTGACCATCAATAACCTTCCTGATGCAAATTAGGCATTTAATTTGCCAGCATCATCTGAAATGATAACAACTATTTTTTAACCTGGCGGATCTTAATGGCGAAAATTTCTGATCCTTCATTAAAAACCGAAAATTTGGGACCAGCAAAAGAAAAAATGACCCTGGATCAGTTGTCAATTGAGGCAAGAAATTGCAGCTAATTTTAACAATGTCAAAAAATGAAAACTATCCCTGAGGCCTTCTCTTTTACTAGTCTTAGAGAAGCTTTTTTTACGGAGATTTCCATCAAGCATGGCTGATGCTAACCTCCAAGATAGTGACTCATAAACCTTCTCAGACTAACATTTTCTGTTGATATGGCAAGATGAATATATTGAATCAAGTGTTAGGTCAAAATTGCTAGTAAAGTTGGTTCAGTGTGTCATGCTAAACAGTATTTCAATCAATAGAATCTAAGAACACATTTGCCTATGCATTGAATATTGCTTCCCACATCTGGTTTGGAGCTTCTTTATGTATTTAGAGATTCTTGATAAAATAATAAGAATCTGCAATATTATCAGTCTTAACAAGTCCATCCTCAACAACTTTTAGTCACCTTTCAGGAACTGCATATAACGAAGCTTCTTGTGCCTTTTTATATTTTCTTTTCATGGTAATTATTTTGATGACCAAAACCCTCTTGGTACATTGACTATGAATTTAAGCACTGTACCAGATTGACAATTAAATCTCATTTTATAGTTAAAATGGCTAATGTTCTTAAACATGGCAGTTAACAGTTAACAGTTTTTCTCACATGCTTAACACTTGTAGAACTCTCTTCTGGGCTCTTGCTTTAAAAAAGTCAACTCTGATATTCAAAAAATTTAAATGCAATGTCAATTTTATATTGTCTTAGTTCCTGTTCATTTATTGTTCTATTTTAAAAAAAGTTTTTTTCCCCCATATTCTTTCACACTCAGTAATGTCTTGTGTTTTGCCATTCTTAGGGTAAAATGATTTTAAAAAAAGCGTGATACCAATCAAAAACTTAACTTGAGAATAATGAAATTTAATTGACATGGAAAATAGTCAACATACTAAAAATATTAAAATCATGAGATGAAAATCCTTTACCTCAGTTTGTTTAGTCTTTTTGATGTGTGGCTTCCAGATGAGTAAAAATAACTTATTGGACTATATATTCATGTGCAATTTGTTACATGTAATGAAAATGTAAAATTTTTTAAGCAAATTCTGATGAGTGATAAACAGTAGATAATTTATAACAACACGGGATGCAAGAGATCATGGTGTTACACTATTGGAAAGGTGCTAGTAAACTGAAAAACACTAATTTCAGATAGACTGAAGAATGACCAGACTAAAGAAAATGAAATAATTAAAAACAGACAGAAAACCACCAATTTCTGATAGACTGAAGATATACCAGACTATTCAGACCAAGTCAGTCTTGTGATCAATTGACACAATATGTGGTGGGGCAAGACTTCGAAATATGATCAACTCTACAAGGTTTGAACTTGAATATGGAGCAGCTGGGGTAGTGTCTGCAGTGGACTGTAAAAAAAATGGGGATTACCTGGATTACAACAAGCCAGATGAGCAGATATGGTTACAAGATGAAAAAATTGGGGTCCAGAAGGAAGACCCCCCCTACCCAAGATTCCTTGTCAACAGATACACCCCTGGCAGACAAGGCCATGAAATGCCCAGGGACATCCCAGTACAAGAAGTAAGAGAAGAGGGATAATATTTAATAAGAAAAATAGAAAAACTGTTACTGGATGAGTGCAAAGCAGAGAATCTAAGTGATGAAGTCCTGGGTTTTGGCTCAAAACATCCTGAAGACAAAGAAGAGCTGAGTGATTGCGAAGAGGAGGATAAAATACCTCTCTCCAAACTCCAAAAGCAGTTGAAAGAAATAAAACACAACGAGCAGATGAAGAAGGGACAGAATCAAGTAGTAGTGAAGGGAAAGAGAAGTAATGAATAGCCCTGTGAAGAGATACCTTACAATGAGAAGGAAGAGAGACTTCATTAGAGAATGGGTTTACTTTCTGCTGCTCATAAAGAGAGAGATAGGTCACAGAGAGATTTTATTGTCAAGAGTCTTTGCTATTATTAAGAGGAATCCAAAAAACCATTTTTTTTGGGAAAATTAAATTGAAATCAGATTTTAGCTGCTGCCTGTTGGAGTAAAGAAAAAGAGAAGGGAAAAACTAAATTCTTTTTTAAGCATTTTAGAAGAAAAGAAAAAGGCAGTAATTTTTTTTCTTTCGTTGCTTGAACAAAGGGATGGTGATTGGAAGAATTATTTTATTTTGGACTAGACCATGCCTAGTCCTTGGGGGATGAGTTTGGTCAGGTGACAAAGGAGGAGGGGACCCAGTTGAAATTTCAGGGAAGGCAGAGGATTTTCCATGCCCCTTGGGCAGTGATGGAGAGAGGCACTCCCACAAAGCAGGGAGACAGGTCTGATCAGGTGACCAAAAGGAGGAGGAGGATCAGGTAGAATTCCAAGAGGCTCCTCCCATATTTGGACATGTGCAGGAGAGCCCTGATTGGTTGTTTGGGGAACATCATATAGCCAGAGCACATCATGCTTCACTCCAGCCCTGCACATGGGTCCATAAAAACAGAATGCCAAGACACAATAGCAGAGAAGACAGCAGAGACACCATGAAGAGAGACTGTGGAGATGAAACCAAACGGAACCATCACTTTCTCATGTGATTTGCTGCCCTGAAGCAAAAGCCTCCAGCTTAAAGCCTTGTTCCAGAAATCTTGGTTCAAAATCATAATAACAGTGTGTCATGATAATCAGGAAAGGTCAATAGTTATTGCACAGAGAGTATAGGCCTGCTTAAGCCATCAATAACTGTACCATCAACTTTGTATCAAGGAAGTAAATATAAATACTTTATTTTCTTTTGCCCAATTTCTTTTTTCTTTTTTCATGTGATTTTACTCTGACCGGATCAAATCAAGTCAGCGATTCCAATCAGCCACTTGGACCAAGCCAGTTTTGCGATCAATTGACACAACATATGGTGGAACAAGACTTGGGCCGAAATGATCAACTCTACGATTAGCTGAAATGATCAAACTTGAATATGAAGCGGCCAGGATAGACGTCATAATATTATAAGTAAGACTAACCATGTCAAAGGCCATCATTTCTATAATAAAAGATTCCCAACCATATACACAGCACCACTTTGTATAGACAAAGTAGTGCTGTGTATATGGTTGGGAATCTTTTACTATGAGGTGTCAGGGATTAGTTAAGAGAAATGGTATAATATTTAATCAAGAGAATACAAGATTGCAAGTTTCATTGGCAATCAGACTAAAATTGTTGCAGCTTAGCTGGGAAGTTTTCCCTTATTCAAATGTATTTACAAGATATTACATTTTCGGATTGTTATTTAAATGAGGTTTTACAGAAATATCTACATGAAAAATGATCTATATAAATATCTACATGAAAAAAGATAGAATTAAGTTGCATGAAAATGGTAGAAGGTTAGAAAAAACAAAACAGTAAAGTTGTTCTATAAAGCTAATGTATGAAAAAATTATATATACATATATATATATACATATATATACATATATATATATACATATATATATACATATATATATATATATATATATATATATATATATATATATATATATATACATATATATATATATATATATATACATATATATATATACATATATATATATATACATATATATATATATATATATATATATATATATATATACACACACACACACACACACACACACACACACACACACACACACACACACACACACACATACACACACACATATATATATACACACATATATATATACATATATATATATACATATATATATATATATATACATATATACATATATATATATATATATATACATATATATACATATATATACATATATATACACACATATATATACATATATATATATATATATATATATATATATATATATATATATATATATATATATATACTAGTTGTATTTATTTTCTGGCAAATTAATATTAAGTAAAAATTAAAATGATACATTTTATTTTACAGCTTATCTTTCCTAAAATTGAATATCAAAATATATCAGATGACTAACCGTTTGATTCAGCTGGAAAGAGATCGTGTTGTACCTGAAAGAATGAAGGGTTGATGAAGATGCGGAGAATGAGGTATAGAAATAACACAGAACAAGTTAGATAAGACGTAAGAGAGAGAAATGAGCAGAGGATAAAATAGAAATAACTACAGAAAATAACAGAAGTAGAGGGGAAATGATGCTGAAGATATAAAGAGAATAACAGAAAATAAACTGAGAAACTGAGAGTGAAACACGTAATAATACTTAATTGAGAGAAAAAAAAAAAAAAGAGTGAAATTACGGAAAAACCTTAGATAGAATTAAATACAAACAATAAATATGAAAAAAGTCTGATATTAAGTCTACAAAAGTATAAGTGACGCAAAGAAAGGAATGAGAGTGAAAGAAAAAGTATGAAAGAGAGAGAGAGAGAGAGAGAGAGAAATGGGGAGAGATATTTTATATATTACTTTAAGCAACAAAATAAGTATATGAGACTTTCCTTCGCATTTCTCTGCAACTTCCTGAGAGATTTAAGACCAAACAAAATAGACACATTTTGTGCCAGTAGCTGTCAAAACTCTGCCAGAGTTTTCCTGACTTCTTAAATTGGATTGCTGCCGTTTATCAACCTGAAAGCAATGGCTGCAGAGCAGAAGTCGAGCAGTGACAGGCGAGGTTAGTTAGGAACACAGGCACAAAATCCACTTAATCTGAATGGTTAGCTGCTGATGTGTTCTGTGACATCTACAGTCCTTTGCTTATTTCTTTCGCTTGAGTGATCGGCTGATGGGCAAACATACCAGTGTATTTGCTGTCTCATCTTAGTGGGGACAAATTTAGGAAATCTCACAAAGCGAAACTCTGCTCATTCAGCGGAATTTTAACAAGATTTTAACGATATATAGATAGACAAAACTGTCGGGAAATTATAGGCGAGTCAGAAACTGATCATCATTAGTCTATAGTTTAATACATATAAGTGAATCTAATTCATCACATGACGATCAGATGTTAAGAAGCGATAGGTTATCTTGTTCCATCCCCAGACTCTTTCTTTTTTGGGGGGGGGGTATTCTGAATAATTTCTTTTGCACTAACAATTCCCTGATCAATTTACGGTAAGCATTCTTAAATAAGTCCTTATTTATCCTTTTATATAACGAATAAGATTTTATTAAACAAAACACTGATTACTTATAGAATAACATGAAACAACCCAAAGTCTGATGAGAACGAAAGTAATATCTAAATTCTAACGTTCACAACATTAATCCAAAAGATGGCTTGTAGATAGCAGTTTGGTGAAGAATGGATGGGGTGTTTGATGTATCTAGGGGATCGCTGGATTCTGCTGAATCATCGGACTCACAATAAAATTAGTTTAAATAATATAGCGATTTATAGAGACGATGGCTTGATGGTAGTGAATAATTTTACCGGAAGCAAGGTTGACACTTTGAGGAAATGGATTCATTGTGTTTACATCTTTTCACCTCAAGGTTAAAATTGATTCTAACATAAAAAAGTAGGCTTCTTAGATGCAACCTTAAATAATTTCCATCTCTTCTTGAAAAATAAATCTAACCCCATTTATATAAATTTTAATTCCAATCACCCAACGACAGTTATTAAGCATATCCCATCATCCGTTGAACGCCGTATCAACAAGCACTCTTCTAGCAAAGAAATATTCGATAAGCACAAAATTGTCTATAACAAAATCCTTACCGATAGTGGTTACAGATCATCCGAAATTAAATATAGAGAAAACTGTAGTTATTCTAAAAGAAAAAAAAAACAATAGAAGAAGGAGAATAATTTGGTATACACCTTCTTTCAACAAATTAGTCCGTACCAAATTAGGACAGCTTCTTAAATCTAATTAACAAGCTCTTTCCGACGGAGAATAAATTAAGCTAAATCTTCAACCGCAATACCTTAAAAATTAGCTATAGCTGTTCTAGAAATCGAGATAAAATTATTTAATCGCATAACAATAGAATACTGAAAGTTCATAGATATAATAAACACAACCTAAATATAAATTTTAATATACCACAAGGTAAAAAGGCTATGTAATTGTAGAATCCCCATACTACTGTCCATTATTAAACAGGTGCTTAATGAAATCCATACTGTATATGTGCTATATCTCATCAAATGAGAACCCCAGATATATTAAGCTGTATGTGGGGTCAACTAGAAGACCTTTTAAGGATAGGTATTAAAATCACATGAACTCCTTTACAAATACAGCCAAACGAATTATGACATCACTTTCGAAATATTTTTGGAAACTGAAGGAAGAAGATAAACCGAGTAAATATCAATATTGGCTGACTGAAAAACAACATTGAGAGATAAAACTGTATTTAATAACAAGATTCTCTTTTGAGTGATTCATTTTCTACGGCTTATAAACTGTTTACAGGTTATTTAAAGCCATAAAATATTTTGAAGAATTATTTTTTTGGAGATAATAATAGTTTAGAGATACAAGTCTTACTAACTAAACCATTGCTGGGGGAGAAGAGGTGGATTTATAACATTCTCAGGGGTATTTGCGCGTAAGTGAATATAACGAACCCAACTGGAACCCGGTTCTCTTATTGAGAATTCCGTGTAAGAAATTATTCCTTACACAACCCACAAATCTATGCTTACAACCCCTGGTATTCCCAAGCGGCCACCTATCTAGGTATTGACCCGGCTCGTTGCTTTACTTTGGTGATCGTACGGAAACTGGTGTTTCCACGTGATGTGGCTGTAAGTCTCTAATTGCAATAGTTATTGCTCCTACTTCAACGTTATGACACTTCTAGTTATAGGCGTTCATTGGCTCCTTTAAGCGTTTCCTTTCATCTCTCTAAAAAATGTTCTTGTAGTTTTCATGCATCAGAATTCATACTATTTTGTCTGAAATAACCACTGGTTTGTCATCAGGGTCTAAACATATTTTTTCGTTCCATCTCGCAGCAGTAAACGTAGAATGGAAGTTGTCAAATATTAATTTTAACAGCAGCAACGCTTTTTAATAACATGCATTATTGTCGGAGTAAGGGGAAAAAGCCGAGATACAACGGGTAAATCAAAAATATTATAAGAAAATAGAAAATAAACGATCGTACAGCACAACGTTTCAACATGTAATATGTATTGCTTGAATTGCGCGTAGGTAAAACTGATGAAAATATTTGGGAAGAAAAGAAACGGGCAAAAGATTTGATTAAGAAAGTAATAGTTGTTTTTTTTAAAAAAAAGAAACAGATGAATGAATTATTGAATAAATAGAGGGATAAAAGTAGTATCGAAATTGATTTGTTATTAAATTGGAAAGAAGCGGGAAATTGAAATGAATGACGTATAGAAAGTAAAACCAATGTCAAGAAGGGAGGAAGTGCAGAACGAGAAGTTAAGAGATATACCTTGAAAAATAATAGAGAAGAGAGATAATAAAGTAAGACAGAAGAATAAAAAACAATGATGATATAAGAAAGGAAAACATAATAAAGAAACTCGAAAACAAACACATAAAGTAAGAGCATTAAAAAAGGTTAAGAAAGCGGCAAAGGTAAGAAAACTATAAAAAAATGAAAGAAACTAAGGAAATCTAAAGGAAGAAAGAAAAAAAAATGAAAGAATGTAAGAGTGACGGGGGAAACAATGAAATAAATAAACAGATATCTAAAAATAAAAGAAATACAAAGGCGATTAGATCAAACAGAAAAAAGGACCATTAAAAGAGAAGAAAGAAGAGAAAAAAAAAATCGAAAGAAAAGAATGAACAAAAGAGCGAAAGAAATCGAATGTCTGATTGATTTATTTTTCTATGGCTTTTATTAACCTTTTCTGGATTATTTAAAACCCAAACATATCGAGGATTGTAAGAATAGGCCTTTTTTATAAAGTGAATATTGCGTTAAAATATTTTTAACATGATTTTTCCATATCCAAGTCCTACCTTTCTTAAGTCTATTTGAGCATAAGTGAATGTAACAAGCCCAACTAAAATTTGGCTCCCCAGTTTCTCATTCTGAGTCTATTAAACCCGCTGTCCATCCGCATAGAAAGAAAGAAAGGAAGGAAAGATGCAAGAGAAAAAAGAAAAACAAGGACCGCCGAAAACAAAATTTAGATTCATTTTCTACGGTTTATTAACCCATTGTAGGTTATTTAAACCCAGAAAATATTTTTGATAGCAAGAATTATTTCTGAGATAATGATTTAATGATACAAGTCTTACTAATTAACCCATAGCTAGGGGAGATGAGGGTATTTGTGCGTAAGTGACTATAACGAATCCAACGGATACTGGAACTCGGCTCTCTGATTAACAATTCCTAGATTCTCTATTTTTTAATTTAACTTTACTGATGAATAATGTTTTACAAGATAGCTATACCAAACATTATGCGTGATCCATTACATCACCTGCCCATCCAGCGCATGATATTCCCAAGCGGTCACTCATCTCAGTACAGACCAGACTTGACGTTAATTAACTTCAGTGATTGTATGGAAACCGGTTTCCTAACATAATTACGCCGTAAATCGAAAAATCAGAGTACAGACAATAAAAACGAAAATGAAAATACTAGAATAAAATAGAGTAATGGATTCAACCAATTCCAGCAAATTGATTTCTTCTGAAATTAATAGTTAACATAAAGAAAGGTCAAAAAGAAAGCATATAAAAATGATTTATTAATGACATATCAAGTATAAATGCCACGTAACAGAAGAATGGGTTGAATATGTGAGAAACGAGGGCGTCTTAACGGGGACTAAAAGGACATTCATACTTAAAATCCGATAAGCTGAATATTTTGGGACACATATAGCTTCATCAGATTAAGACTCATATTTATGTCATATATTACGCCAAACCTCTTCCAAAATATCTAAACTGTCGACTATATACAACCGTTTTTCAGATCGATGTTTTAAAATGGCCTCGAGCGAGTGAAGCGTGTAGGCCTCAGCGAGAAACATCATTCATCCCTCATCCTCGTGGACAGGCGTTACAGAATGACAGACAAAGAACAATACGAGAACAGAAAGCACATCAGCTACAACTAAAATGGTTTTGATCGGAAAATACTTAAAAAAAAAAACATAAAAAGAAGCCAGAAACATAGAATGTAAGCAATGGTGAGCAACAAAACATGTAGTAAGTATCTAAATAAAGAAAATTAATTACCTTAGATCTCCACGGATACCGTCGCGACACGTTATTATCCAGTACTTTTCACCTACAAAAATATGAGAATAAACTTTTAATAAGATATATAGTTAATTGCTTGTTCTAAGACAAAGCAATTGTCTCCTACCCCTAAAAGAGCCATTTTTTTTTTTGTTAAACATTCCCTAAAAACAGAACCTTAAGCTTTCAATATAATGTATTTTCTGTGCATTAATAACACTCAGACAATATCAATGCTATGTGAGGTTTAAAATGATTGCTTGAACTTAATCTGATAATGTTTGGCTGATTAAGTTCAAAGGTCATTGTCTGATCGATCCCACTGAAATGAAAAGGCGAAATGAAAAGTGATAGACGTTCGTGTTGCCGTATACCTTCGCTCATTAACTCAAGCTAGTATTAACTTTTTCTGAAACAACTTTTGCGACATCTGTAAGGTGAAAAGAAATAAGCAAATAAAGTAATAATAGACAAGAGAAATAATCGAAGATAAACGAATAAATAGACACATTCGCATTTCTCGATGTGTTTCTTCGCAATAAAAGCCAACATAATTTTTCTATCCATTGATTTGGGAAATATTTTGACGTAATCTGAAAATGGATTAAGTTATAGAGTTGTAATCTTTCGTTTTTTATAACAAGTTTCAAGAAAAAAAGTACTGGTTAATGTAATCACTTTTCAAAAATTTGAAAACGGCTATTTCTTCAGCGTTGCTTGATAAATAAATCATTGTGTTAAATTAGGCACGGTTGAGGTGATATCTATAACATATCAGCAAGGAACATCTTATACTTAGTTGCAGTAGATCAGTGAGAAGAGAGACGTATGTAAAGATTTGTTAGTGACAAATCTGATGTAAAAAATAAAAGATAATTTCCTACCTGCGTGTACCTATTTAAAAATCTTTGCTAACCTTACGATATACCTTTAGTCATATCATATTGCTAAGACCAGAAGCAGCAATACTCTTATGTGAGAGTGGTTAATAATTGAGCGGGACGGAATTTTTCTCAATATGCAATTACCGGAGAGGGGCTTCATAATAAAGGTATTAATAGCTGTGTGTTTGTTAATCTCTTGTCATGATTAACTGTAGATCCTATACATCAGGGTTTCTCAAGGTTCTTTTTATATGTGCCGTGTCTCTTCAGGGTCATGGCTCTCCAAACTTTCTTGTCCTCTAGATTTTAATAAATTTTGTATTTTTAAAATTTTCTTCTAAACCTTGTTCTGCTATCTATTTACTCAAGCTTACTGAGTCAGTTATGCGTCGTACATTTTAAATTCACTCTGTCCTGTGAGCATAAGATTTTACAAGTCCTCTTTGCTCCTTATGGACCCTAGATATTTCAACTGTCTCTTTCTGATGCTGTGTATAAGTTTTCTTTTTTCTTTCCATTTTATCTAAAACTTTGTCGTTGCTCGGTGACTCCTGTATGAGAACATTTCTGCTGCCTAAATTCTCTTCTTCGTCTGTGAGGAGATTGTCCAGGATTCACTGCCTTCTCTGTTTCTAATGCATTATTTTCTGTTTCTGTTTACTTTGCTTAGCAGGGTTACGAGAGATAAATTCAGAGGTCAGGCGACCAAAACTCATTATTAGAAGTTTTTTTTTTTTTTTTAAATCTGTCCTTTTTTTTCCACAGATACACAGAATTTGCTTTCTCTATTCACCTGCACCCAGCCCCGAATCAAACAATTCAGTACTATAAAACAGAAAGTCTTCTCAAATAGTATGGCCGAATGAATAAGTTTGAGAATAACCTACAATAGTTAGATATAAACGTTTATTAAATTTTGAACGTATCAACATTAGTTAAAAATTGAAAAAAAAGAAGTGTTATATTTTTAATTTAAACTTTGTTGCTTAATAACTCACTCGATGTTATGAACTTTGGCAAAGAAAAATCTTGCTATTTTCAGAAAACTAATAAGAACAGCCGAAATAGACTGCATAAGTAAATTAATTTTTCAGACTAATAAGACGCCAACTTATATCGCGGATAGTAGAAAAATCGTTTCTAAATTTATTTTGACTTTCCACTCATATTTTATAAAATTAATTAAAGTTTTGAATACGTTAAAAAATTAAACCTTCTAAAATAAAAAGAGTTAAAAAGCTACAGAAAATAAATAGGATTAAAGAAATAGGATTAAAGTATAACAATTGATATTCTATCAAAACAAAAGCAATAGAAAATTTAAATATAGAAAATCTCTGCTCTCGTTGCTTTCGCTTTTCGATGTTAACCTCCGTTGTAGCCATTGGTACACACGTTAGAAAAAGGTATATTTTATTGGGTAACGTTAAATATCTCCGCTGACGGATAAACAATAATATTCTACAAGTCAAAATGAGATCATATGAGTTTTGTTTTTTATTTTCCTTAGTTTCTGTTCTTCTGTTTTCAGGAGAAATGCCGTCTCTGAATCTAAGTTAGAAGATAAGCCGGAATCCTATAGCAGCTTTTAAAACAGTCAAAGAAGCGAGATTTAATGAAGGCGAAACCACATGACATCAGCGAATCACAAAGAAGGTTAAGTGGATGAATTCAATTCCATTTTGATTTTAATTTTTTTTGTTCAAAACCCCAAACTTGCATGACTCTCGATCTTTGAATACAACAAAATAGATAAGCAACTAGAACCAGTTGTATAAAAATAAATGCACCTTTTTTTCTATTGATCTTTTATTTCATAAATCTATTTCTTTGTCTTGATCTCTGACCTTTGATGATCAACGAATCATTTTGGAAAAAAAAAAAAAAAAACCGGAGTTAAAATTTATTTGATTCTATTTTAAGAAATCTTTTGAAATAAATCTGCATATTAATACGTTCAAGTTACATTAGGAAATTTTATGCGGAGAGAATTTTCCGTCAACATATGCGTTTTGTCTTTTGGTTGTTCTTTTTTTACCTTTAAATCTAGTGGAGTCTTTGTTTATATTACCAAAACTATACCATTGGTAATCAGCAGTGATTCTTTTTGTATTGACCTATTCCAATCTACTACTTTGTACTTTATAAGCCATGCCTCTTCAGGATACGTGTGAGCATAGATCTCTCACAAGTCTGATGCACTAAGTGAATTCTGACCTTTTACCATCCCTTTTTGCCCTTGTTTTGCTAAACGTTCACACAAAATCGATTGCTGCCATATCTAGGCTTTATTTGGTCAAACTACACTTTTCAGCCTTGTGAGAGTTCAAAAGCGTTTAGTCGGATTTGTGGCTGAGGAATTATTTTTCCGCAGATGAAACTTGTTAGCCTACGTTAGTGCTATTTCAATGGCAGATGTTCAGATGAGGGACATTATTTAGTTTTAATAATCCGAACC